GATCGGTCGGTGTTCGTGGGACCCTGCGCACCTCAGGGGCCATCCAATGGTAGGTCCCGGCGCCAGAGGTCATGCAGGCCTGTGGTGTTGCAGTGGAGCCAATCTCTTGATCTTGCAAGAAGAGTTTGGAGACATTTTTGAGTTCGTCCTTCAGTGTATATCTTAGGCTTCTTCCTGAAGGGGTCTGGTTTGTGCTGTCTCGCATATAACTGGTTTGTCTATGCCTTCTCCCACGACTCCTGTACACCAATGCGTGCAACCATATGAAACTCACAAACATCATAATATACCTTAATGCCAGAAGCACCTACCTCATCCTACCTCCGCCAGTCAAGTCCGATCCCCAAATCCAATCAACAATCCGCCAGGCACGTCCTACTTAACAGCTGAGTTCAGAGCCAGTCTACCCATGTTCAACCCAGTCCACCTTCCCATCTCCGTCCCCATCTCTCCAACCTGCGTGGGGTCCGGAAAGGCCCTGGAGAGGCCGAAGTCCGAGACCTGGCACGTCGGCAGGCCTTGAACGATCTAAACCAGGATGCTGCGGGAGGCCGCTGAAGAACCAATCAAATCAAAAGAACCTCTACTTAGGGTGTCTGGCTCATCAAGTGATCAAGGTCTTCATGATGCTTATATCATGCAAGAACCAACCGTCTGACTTGCAGGAGAAAAGAAAGAACGCTTTTTGGCTCCCCTTTCAATCGCACCGCACGGAGATCATCCAGTCTTCCTCCGTTTCATGGTCTCGACATTGAACCAATTGCAACCCCCGTATGCTCTGCGGTATCTCGTTGAATGTATCCTCAAATGTTCCTCCCTCCAAACCTCTGCTTAAAAGGTCTCCATCGGTGGAACAAACATCTCACCATCCCGGCAGCCCCCGGCTGTTCTCTTTTTGGTTTAATCTGTTTGAGGGTTGGTCCCTTCATGCAAACCACGGATTGCACTGAAAAACCGCCTCTCCCCCAGAAACCTTGCAGTTCCCCACCTTCACCTGCGGCAGCTGCTCGATGGGCTGCTCTGGGACCGGCGCCAGTAGCAGGAGGTTCAAGGACTTTAAGTCTCGATGTACTACCTGCGACCAGGCTCAGTGGTGGTTCAGCGCTAGCGGATGAGAGCAGCATGACCCGGCAAACCCGGCAGGTGAGATGACATCTGAGACATCGGAGAAGAATGCAAGAGTTTCTGGTACAGGGGGAGCGGTATTTGTTGATTCCTTTTTTTGGACTGGTTGCCAAGGGCAAGGAATTTCAGTTTGACTTCCTTCCTCGCCCATGTGGCGGCATGTTGCGGCTGTGTGTTCTGCTACTTCGTACCCTGCTACATGAATAAAGGCGAATCCCCAAGACTTCTGGACCAAAATGGACCAAAGGGCAAGTAACTGTCTGAACGAATCATCTTCATGTCATGTACCTTGTTTGTCTCAATGTTTCGGGCAACCTCGCGGGCTCATCGGGCTCATCGGGCTCAACTAAGCAACTAGTATACTGATTTCAAAACAACTGCAGCCATCAACCTGCTTCACTGCGGATGCCTGACCTGCCGCCGGTGGAGGAAGTTCATGCCCTGCGTCGCTGGGCTTTGACCGGCGTAGCGTGCGTCGCGAGGCTTGGAGGGGTTGGGAGTGTTGCATGGGATGTGAAAGTGCGCCCAGCAGCGCTTTCAATCTGAACATGGGGAGGTGAGGTCATATTGCTTGCCAGCTTCCAGCTCCAGGTCACCGTCAACAGGTGTACCCTGTGTCATGAAGTCATTGCATTGTGCAAGAACCAACACCACCAACCCTCAATACAACATCTTATAACCTCTCCCTGCCCCACTAAGTGTAAGACAGATTGGGGGCAACAATTCCGACTGCCCAACTGCAGGTTCCCAAGTGTAAAGAGACAACCCAACTGCCCCATCTCAACCACTGTCTATTGGCTCAATTCACAGGTTTCAATTCCCAGGTGATGATGTGTTCGTTCGGGGTACCAGCTTCGCCCAGAATTGTCTGAGCGAGTTAGAGTTTTTGTCCCACCTCTGCCACTGTCATACTGATTGTGCTGGGGGGCTCTCGCTTTCGCGCCTTCGCCACATCCAGCGCCAGTTGCAGCCGCAGGCGCCAGGGCAGTTGCAGCTGCCGCCGGTGGTGAAGCAGCGCCTCAGGTGGGCGGAGTTTCTCCGAGGTCGAACGAAGGAACGGCGCGCGCCGCCTCGTTCTCCCCGAAAAACGGCCCACATCTAATCATCTAGTTGCACTATGGATAAATGGTGGTGGGACCCTCTGGAAGGGTACACCTTGGGTGTGGTCCTGGTGACTTGGAACATTCTCTTCACGAATTCCCAAGGTGGTTCTGGCCCTGGGACCTGATCCCCACACACCCAATGCTCAAAGATAGTATCAAAATGCATACCCAGCACCTGGGCCAGGCCCAGGACCTGCACTCAGCTCTCCCACCGCCGAAACCGCCCTAGCCTGAAGCCTCTCGGGACCCGGACAAAGACCGTGCCACCGGCACAAAACTCCGAGATGATGAGCGCTTGGGGGGCCTCCGCCCCGTGTGTCCGGACGCGGCCGAGGCCCCGGCCCCAGTTGTAGTTGTAGTTGGAGCCGAAGTCACACGAAGCTTGAGCTATCTATGTCTGAATCTCGAACAGCCTGAGTTTGCCTCCATGTTTAGCAGAAGTAAGCATGATAAGCATGAACAACTTTTGCATCATGTTGTGTCTTGGAAACACAGGCAGAAGGAATGTGTGTGTGATCAACCATAGACTAAGGGTTCCCCCCCTCCACTCAATTTCAACATAGTTTACCAAAATTTTTCAAGACCCTGAAAGCGTCAGAATATGTCAGAATGCACAATAATCCAACTCTCCGCTCACCCAACTCTCCTGGCTCCGAGTTCACTGGTCACGGGCACGAGATGACGGACTGTTTCAGGAGACGTTGAACATGGACCAACCAGGCAACACATACATCTCAAATCAGTTTCTCAGGGGGCATGGCGTTGACCACTATATACAGATATACTTTCCCCTTGTCATTTTTTTCTTGAGGCAACATATTGATAGAACTTACTTCAATGGTTCATACCAGGCACACAGTTCTTTGAGGCCCCCCACCCGGACACACTGACACACCTGGCATGTTGCGACCCACTGATGCTTGCTACCCTTCCCCCCTTGCACCGCCCAGCGCCCGCCCGCGCCTTTGTACACGCGCCCATGAAAAGCACCAAATTCGGATGCCGCCTGAGGCTGCCAAAGCGTTGAACAAACGCAAACACGGTGCCGACGTCCTTCTTTTAAAAGGTGCGGTCTGGAATGCCAACGAGCGCTGTGGATGGGTGGATGGGTGGGTGGCTGGATGGATGAGTTGGGGTTGAACAAAAAGCACATACGTAAATACGTGAGGACAATGATGAGAGGAAAAAAAACATGCTTTTGATTCTGGAACACTTGGTTTGAACTTCTTCACGTCCGATGAATGTCGTCCATTAAAATCACTCAACCCCCAGGATGCTTCCTCTGCAATTTCTAGTTTGGGACTGATGCCCATCTTCCGGTATGCAGCAGTCAGCACTGCTGGGCTTCGTATGTTACCCAAACGCTCCGTTCACAGCCCTTGCTCCATCAAAACCTCAGGGATTTGAGGGTCCGCACCCGAGGCTCCAGGGTCGCCTTCCATACGCTCCAAAACATGGATCTTTCGCTCCAGAGCACGAACCCGAAATGGATTCGGATATAACTATTCCCTAGGGATCCACGTACGGAACCTCAGAAGGTACGACTGGGCCCGACAAAGGTGCCTACATAAATAGTCTCCAATCACCGTACCTGAGAAGGTACTTGGATCTCTATAGGGATTGTCAATTGTTGTTGTTGCCGCTGTTGTCCGCTGTTGCTGTTCGGATTTGATGGAAGGTGCACCGATCCCAGGAGCAAGGAACGGACATATCCCTGCCAAAGTAGCTCCGCTGGACTGCTCAGGGAACCTCATATCCCTAGGACCCATGGACACCCCAACAACCCGAAGAAACCGGAGTATGGATCCTACGAATTCCCGCCAACTCCCGCATTGGTCACCTCTGGCGGGGCAATGCTGGGCATCCGGCAAGCGAAGGAGAACGGAGATCTCCCGCTTGAATTCCATGCTAAGCTGTCCTGGGAGGCATCATGACAATGTGGCACGACCTTGAGGCTACGGCCTCCGTGGAAGAACTCCTCCCCCACTTGCAAATTGGAAGAGGGGGTGAGTCTAGATATACGTTGGAACAATCGGCCCTTTTCTACCCCTCTTTGCTGGTAAGGAGAGGTCTTTTCAAACGATCTTGGAAAAAACCTATCTCCAGGCTTTTTGCTTGGAAGTTGTGAGGAGCGATGTTGATGTCCATTTGTTGTTGCTTGTTTCTTGTTGGGACTCTCGCGACCCTTCAAGGCGCCAACGGGCCTTCATTCAAGCACCTGAGGTTGAGTGTACCGACCCACCCTAAGCCAAAACCACTGTATATAATGCTGCTGGATTTGAATATTGCATGTTATGGCTACAAAAAAAATAACAAGAATGACACAACATCACACAAAACATGCCAAAAGCATTCCAACACTAAAGGATCCACGTGGAACGTCACATGCGAAACATTCCCATACAAAGAACCGAATAACGCCTCAAATCAAAGGATCGACGTTCATCTGGATGAACTGAACGAGGAGACGCGAAGCGTCCGTTAGCGTCCGTTTGTGTAAAATACTCAGCGGCATCACGACGGTCCGGTTGTTTACCGCCGGGTATTACATCCCCAATATACTAAAATACGACTATACAGCTCAACGAAATACAAGCGAAACAAGCTACAACTATCAATACCTGTGGTTTTTGCATGTTTTTACTGTCTTGTAAAAGTCTGGATTCTTCTCATTTTCCATCATGTTCCCCCATGCTCCCCCAGATTGAACCCGCCCCCCTATTGTTTTCCTCCCACCCATCGCTTGGTCATGTGGCCTAACGGAAAGGTCGCTCCGTCTCTCTCGCGGCTTCGTCGCTCCTTTGCTCCGTAGCTTCTTCACTGCTACGTCCGTGCCATGCCACGCCGCGCGATAGACTTCTGCGGTGCTTCCAGTGCCTAACAGCTCCTCCAGGCGAAGCTCCTTGGGCGCGAGGAGGTCAGCCAGCGAGCCGGAGCCCACAAAGGAGTTGAGGGAAGGTGGTGAGGTGGTGAAGTGGGGAAGGGGGTTGTAGTGATAGAGCTCCCATGACTCATGAAAGACCAAAACATGGCTTTCTATTGAAGTTCAATGGAAGCTTCCGATTCAATCGAACACCAACAACAAAAACAATTGAACATGGAGGAAAACAATACAATACAAACACACTCAGGTTGGGCAATAGGGACCCATTATAGGGACCCATTTCAATACGATGTTTTTTGTAGACCATCCCCACCTTCTTCCAGGGAAGAACAACCAGAAAATCCTATGTTTGACTCACATTATATAAACGTTTAACATGCTCTAATGTAGACCTTGTCTGGATAAGAATGGATGGGAGATTCAACCACTTCGAATATGTGTTACTTGGGACAAGTTGAAGCAAATGTTGGCTTGCTGTCGAGCATGTGAGTCAGCATGATTCTCAAAGGTGAACCACTCGCAGTCACAACTTGACCTCTCACTGAAAATCATCTTCTGCAACAGGTCCATTCCTCCCATCATTCAATCTAAATCACATATCTTGTATACAATCAGACAGCCAAATACTGAATCAATTATGCGTGAAGCGAAAACAACATGTCGTGCCATACCTTGTTTCGGGAAAAACAACAAATGCATCTCTCCACCATCAACACGCGAGATTGGTTTGGCAAGGTGCTGTATGGTCCACCTGAAGGCCACGCTCAAAGAAATCCAAGCGGTGCAAGTTAAGTTGAGGAAACACTTGGCTCCATTGGACACAGAAAAATAAGACCCTGAACACTCAGGACTAGAACATCCTAGGATTATCTTAGTTGCCACAACAGGAAATTGCTGACAAATTAGACTTCTAAAAAAACAATGAGGATCGCCTTAAATTCACCCTTTGTCTCAATGTTCACTCATACCACTCGAGTCCCTCAAACCGACGGATCTAGATGATCTAGAGATGGAAGGCAAGCGAGAGTGTGGACGACGAGCCAACAACCAACATGCATCTTTTGGTGTAACATGGTATACCACATAAGCTTGATGACCCTCATGGACACACTTAGTGGTCTTTCACCTATACACTTGAAAAAAGGATCTCGTGGTATAGGAACATTGCTGTGAGATGCTTTGAGGTTGCCTCTATGTTCATCCATGTTCCATTCGGTCAAGACATGTCAACAGAACTTATGAAGCATGTTCCATTCATTCAAAAACACATGTCCAGTTTGCACTTGCCTAGGTTATTAAACACGCGATGCCTAATTGATGCCTTAGCATTTTTCTTATGAATCACATGTCATTTGCCTTGCCATGTGCTCCGCCCCACCGACTCCCATCAGGCCATCACCGGCCTCCCACTCGGGCAAAGCCTCTGGCAAAGCCTCCGGTGGTTTCGCACGTGGGACTCCCATGTCCATCCCAAATGGATCAGGATGGCCAAAAGGAGGTAAAATCTTGTGACGGCTTGCGAGGCTGACTGGATTCCTTACTGTGAAAACCCGTTCTGCCACTCGAACCTCTGTGCGATCTTTTGGAGCACTTGGAGATGTGATTTGCTCCTCCCTTGGACCATGGGTCCATGCCGAGACTGGCTGAGATGCGTCTGGCTGCCAGGTCTGGCGTTGATGCGTCACTGGCTGCTGGCTCTTCATGGCTCTTGCTTTGTCTCAATAAGATCAACGACTTGAGTTGAGACAGTGGGCTCGCCATATTCATAGTTGGGTTATAGCTTGGTCCTCTCAAAGGCGGTCCATGACTGAATTGCATCTTGGGCCGCCAAGTCAGTTTTCTTTATTGGTAAGAATCTGTTCTTGAATACTTCTTGCCCAACAGGGAGGTGAGGTTCCAACTGATCCTGCATCTGGATCCTCTGGCCTATGGCCTTAGCTGACAACGACACTCCTGACTTCCTGAAGCGCCAAGGATCTTGTAAAAACGCTTGGAGCGCCAATGACATGCTTTAGGTTCCAAACGTGCACGTGGGGTGGGTCGGAGGGGGGTACAGTAGGCGCAGTAGGTCCCCTTCAGTGTTGTGCTGACACTGCATGATGCTTGGACTTAGTTGTTTTGAAGGAATTCGGTTGATAGCTTCCACACAGTATCGTAGCTGACCCATGGCAAGTACGCTGGAAACACTAACACTACTAGTAGCACTAGAAAAGCACCACTGAACGAGAGCAGCTTTTGTTCTTTTTCACATTGTGCTTTGTTGACAGCAGTGCGCTGCCACTCCAAAGAAAATCAAACCCAATCTCGTCTGAATACTTGTACACAGTTGGGTGTGGTGGTATCGGTATCCGCGAACTGGCTGCATGCGGAAACGGATTTTGAGCGCGTTTTCACAGAAGAGCGCCCCTCCAAATTGCCCGCCAAACATGTTCTACTCCTGCTTTATTCCAAATTGAATTGTCCAATTCTACCTAGAATTGGAACATCCTAGAAGCCATTCGAAAAACTGTTTTGATAGGATAAGAACCATGTTTCGTGGTTGGTGATCCAAAACAAAGGTCACTCGGGTACTTATGGATACTTACTTGGATACTTGTGGGCACTTACCTGGATACTTCTGGCTGGATTCTTACCATGACCAACCAACTCTGCCATCCTCGTCCTTTCCTCTCCCTCCCGGAACCACCTGCGGTGGGGCGTGCTCCAGGTGGCCTGACAGTCGAGTCGGGAAGAAGATGGATCAGACCTGGGTGACCTTCCTAGTATCTATTGATCCGGTCTTGACATTCAGTCCAAAGGGTTGGTTTCTCAACAACCTTGCCGTGTAACTGAGAGTAAAAAGATGGGCAGCCTGGCCTGGCCTAAAAGCCATTCATCATAGCTTCGGAGTGACCGAGTGCGTAAGGAACCCGTGGAGCCAGTCCGTGTGCAGGATTGGTGATGACGTGATATTCATCGTGATGAGTGATGGAATCGTGATCGGAATCCACCAGCTTGGAGAGTCAAATGGATATGGTCCACAAAGCCTCACAAAGTATTGTTTATATATACTAAAGGGCACCCTCCTTGATAGCGGCATAGATCAACGTCGTGGGGTCTAATTACCCTTGACCACAGTCCAAAAACGATAGGATTCGCATCTCTTGCCTGGCAGCGCGCCCACCTTGCGGCAAATCGACGAGTCGACCATGTGTATTTTTGTGTTTTTTCCTTTTTTCCGGGTGTCCCGACCTCTGAGAATCGGAAGGTGGGCCTATGAATGTCAAACTGCTTAGCACCGGAGTTGGAGGGGTGCCAATCCTCTTGACGAGTAGATGATTGAGATATATCGAGATCATCATACCCCCTGGTCATGACCTGTCCAGGTTCTACCCCGAACGCAAACTCTCCACCGTGTGTCCCTTCCCCCCAAAAAGCCCAGCACATATTGGATTCCACCGGTGCGCACACGTGTGCGGCACGCACCTCCGTGAATTCTGTGCCCAACCCCCCTTCCTCGCCGACGGGGTGGCGCCCCATTTTGCGCGCGGCCCTTGGCTCCCTTGGGCTCGGTGCGCCGGCGCGCGCGGTGGCGCGCGACGACCAGGCGCTGGCGCTCGCGGCGCGCCTGTCGGAGGGGGCGGGTCTGTGGCCGGGGGAGTGGCGGAGGTCCATCAAGGGTCTGAAATCATCCACTGATGATCCATGTCCACTTATGTCACATTTTGGAATTCACAACAGAGTGGGTTGGTTCAGGAATCTGGGGGATCCACCGGATATGCTCTGGCAAAGAGAAAGTGAACAACTTCTCCAATGTTCTACTTCCTTCTGAAGTCTGAAGTCCTATCTGTACAATTCCGGGAGCCCTTGTCCACCAAAAGCTGCATCAAGTTGCGGGACTTCTCCGAATAGGTATTATATATATATATATTGGTGACCATCGGGACCATCTTGTTTGTGATCCAAAAAACACCTCGAGTCTATACCAGCCCAATCGCCCAATCGGCAAAACTCGTCCTTCTTCAATGAAAGCTCGGTCCGTCGTTGCCCTGAAGTTCTTAAGGATGACCAACCAACCAAAGAAGTTCGAAGGCAACCTTAACTGGAGAAGGCAGAAGGCAACACCCAACCAACCCATGGCATGATCACATCTTAAAATTCCCCCAACCGACCAACCAGCCACCCCCCCCGCAAAGTCAATCGTTCAAGCCAGTGGTTGTCCTGCCTTGCAGCCTATGTGCGTGGGTTTGCTTAAGGCAAATAATGCAGGACAAATCTTCAAAAAACCAACCATAACCGCTCAAGAGCAGTTCGAACAGGATCCCAGCACCACGGTGCCTGCTTGGCCTCAGCATAGAGCTCCTCAGATGCTGGGACAGAATATGCTGGAACCTTCTATACTGTACATCAGACTGCATGGCTAGTTGAGGTCAGGGAGTCGTTATGGGAAGGCAACCATTCAGCAATCATTCAGGAAGATCCTATGTCAATCTGGAAGTTCCGGAATATATGTTCTCATGTTTTCTCCATCTGAAGGAGCAAGCATGACGAACCTGACCAATGGAAAGTCACCGCCGCACAAACATGCGCCAAGGCCAAACCGACCAACCGACCAACCAGCCCACCCCCCAAACTCCAACCCGGCATGGGCCAAGGCTCTCGCAAAGACGCATTCCGGGTGTTGCGCGAGGTCAAGTTCCGGAACGCGGCCGCCGCCTCGCGCGTGGCGTTCCGCCACCGCTCGGCTCTGTGCCGCAGCCCCCCGCGGCCGACCGCACGCGCGGGCGCCGCGCCCTTCCCGCGCGCCGCATGGCGCGGGGCGGCGGAAGTGGGTGCATCGGCATCGGAGCTGTTGGTGGATCCCAGCCTCAGAGAGACTGGAGGTGGTGAGCTGGGAGGTGTAAAGGAACTGATTTGGAGGTACAAGTGTAGATCAAGTTGCAGTTCTTGGAACACAATACATTTTGCTTGCTACAGTACTGTTGTTGATACCATTTGTCCTACGTACAATTGCAGTTGATGCCATTTGCTGGCTCATGGGATGATTGATCTAGATTCGTGAACCAATAAGTTTAGCCGAGTTCAGGTGTCACTTTCTTCCATTCCAGGCCTCATCCTTCCTGGCGAGTTTGAGTTGGATTGCATCTGCAAGGTTTTGCCAATAATATAGATACGCAGAACTGGCATTCTGGATGAAAACGGGCGGAATTGTCTGCTGAAATGACGATGGGCAGAAAGTATTGCCTGACCAGGGTGTATATGCATCTAAAATTTGCCGGTAGAAATGAGTCTTGGGATTGTCTTGCACCTTGTGTGCTTCATGTGCCCGCTTCATGTGCTTCAGGGTACTTGTGCTCTGCTCACGTGTTCGGTCCGACCTACAGTACCCCCCTCGCCCAAAAACGCCCCCTGCTCGGGCCAACGGGCGAAGAGAACTTCTCTAAGACGTTGGACACCAATTGCTTGATGCGCTCGTTCGAATGGCCTACCGGGGTTGGCGGGGCGGACCCCCCCAGCAAGCGAATGAGGGCCTGTCTAACACCGGGCGCCGACAGGCGCACGGGAGAGGCCGGTTGGATCAGCTCATCCCTTTCCGTTTCCCTTCAGCCTCGTGCCAAGCTTGGCTGTGTTTTCGAGTCAATGTTGTGCAGTTTCATAGTGGAGGATGTCGCAGAGATCCAAAACACAAAAAAGGCATTGGCCAAAGAGGCTCCATCATTGTCTTCGCCCAATCCACATCACCGACAGAAGCAAATGCATGAAGGAACCCCTACCGAAATCGAGCATCGTGATTCAAGTAAATAGAGAAATGAAGGGACTAACAGGTGCCCAGCGACTAGCAGGTGCCCTAACAGGTGCCCAAATCCATTGGAAGGCACCAAGAAGGACATGTTGGAAGGCACTGCTTACCTCGTTTCTTCCGTGTTCGGGTCCCACAGGCCGAGGCCTCGTTCAACGGCATGTACTCGGCATGGTACGCCCATGGTACTCGAACCCCAAAAGGGGCTCCGAAACGAGTGGGAGTGGAGCAACATAGGGAAGGGCCCAGCCACGAACGCGCCTCGCTTCTCCTGGATCTCTTCTTCCGTGGGATGCTCCGGGTGGGTCTGATCGGATCCGAAAGGACCGAGGACGCCGAGGGAAAAAGGAAAACCATCGAGAACCTACCCCAAAACACTCCATGGGACTGCTATATAGACTCATAGACATGAAGGGATGGTCAAAAAGGGGTCAATGTAGGCATATTGATATTCCACACATGGAGTGTACGGGTACTAAAGACCTAATTGAGGGATCGATTCAGGTTAATTCACCTTTGGTTTGTTCCGATGTGTAGACGTGGGCATTTTACAATGGTCCACATGCACACTTTGCATGAATTTGGATGTATTTGATCCTTAACAAGTTCTTTGAAGGTAGCGGCAACAGCATCAACAGCTGGTGAGAGCGGCACATAATGAATCTGGCTCTGGAAACACCATTGAATCTTGTTTAGATTGAGGACGCAGGTAATATATGGGGTGGTTGCAGAGCAAAACACCATCGAAGGAACGAGTTCCCCATGGACAGTGGTTCGTGGTTCGGACAGAAGCCTCGAGGTTCCAATATTTGGGGCTTCCCAAACGGACCCAAACTGACAAGCAAAAACACAATCCCAAGTATCGAGATTCGACATTGATCAACACATCCAAAGTAGTCACGACATGGACAATCTCATCGCCGGAGGCGTTTTGAAGCTTCCATCAAAGTTAACTCGACCTGTTTGGTTGCCAGTTCTCTAGGGTTCCTAAATTTTTCTGACCTCGGCTGCTGCAAGAAACGGATTCCAATTCCATCAATACGATCGGCGTGTTCCAACCGATATACTTCATTTCGGGTCTTTGCTGCACATGATCCCTGTCGGATCGTGAAACCCAGCGCCCCCAATCATCACCGCCGACAAAAAAGGACGTGCTTTAGCCAGCCAATCTGGACGTCCCACTAAGTCTAGCGAGTGGTGTTCCCACTGAAGTTCCACTCAATCAGATTAACATGTTACCCTCCGACCTCCGACTCACAACTATGTGACCGTGGAAAATGGCTCCGAAAAGACTCTTCTCCTCTACGCAAATAGTTGTTTTTTTATTTGTTCACTTTCTTGGTCAATATATCTGTATCTGCTGTTAAGAACTTCCAATGCACGATGTTCAAATATGTCCATTGCGGGCGACATCGAAAACCCGACATCGTCGTCCCTTCCCCGATCTTGCCAGCCTTCGCTTCTTCCACCTTCCCAAAACCGCTGCAGGTCGAAACCCCGAAATTGGCCAATTTCCGATAACTGAAACCTGTTCATTCCGAAGGTCAACATCAGTGCTCTGAAGTGCAACAAAAGACTGCCCCATCGGTGGTTCAACCAAGCTGTATGTTGCAACGCTGTGATGTTGCTTTTCGCAAAAAAAACGGTAAACATATCAGAGATCAGCAGGCGATCCTTTGACATGTTCATACAGTACATGTTCATCTTCTGTCGTATTCTTTCAAACCAAAAGAAAGACGTTCTTTCATACACCAGGCAGGTGTCCATCCAATTCTTCCGTGGAACCATCATTATATGGGTTCCTTACAAAATCCCGCCTCGACTCCGTGGTCGACGCACAAAAGGGCCAATTGCTACGTGTCCAAACGCCGTGGACCGTAGTTCAAGGCATGACAATTACTACCCACGACTACAACCTTTTTTGACTACAGTCTTGTCTCATATGCATAGTGAACGAGAAACATCGTCCTCCGGGCTCTGCAGAACCCTGCAGTGCCAATGAAAAACCCTCTTGATCCCTCAGGCATTGAAGAACCCTTCAGAAGATATCTTATTTTGTCAAAACATCTCCAAACAAAACATTTATTCCTCCCTTACATTACATTATAATGCTGAAAACGACATCGACTTTTCCAACCAGCAAAGGCTCACTGGTAGGCCATCTTATGTTAGTTCGCAATCCTCCTCGGAGGGCAAGTGCGCTCCCGTGAACCATCAATTGTGGAATTTCAACAACTGTTTCTGCAAAGCACTGTTGCTCACCGTGCCAAGGGCTCGATAAGTGTGAAAAAACATGTTTTCCAACAAAATGTCGACTGGGAAAAAAATAAACAACACCAGCAGAAAACAACTCCTGCATACTCCTTCACCCCATCGCATCGCATCGAGCAGGTCCACCGCATCGCCTGGACTTCGGAGAGTGCCATCCACTTCGTTTGGCCTTGGCATCTTCATCGGCACCCACCCACCCACACACACACACCTGACCCAGGTGTGTGGGTGTGGGGTGGGGAAGACATCTACAGGTACCACATACTGTATACTGTATACATGGTTGTCTAATATAGTTATTGTTTATTTCGTGTGAACGCAAGGCTCAGTGTGCTCTGGTTGTATTTCGTGTCACCACATTTGGAACATTTGAACAACTGATCGTGTTGATGTGGATATCCGCAGTACTGTAGCAAACGAGGGAATGTCGTTCAACTGCCGAAGGACCAGGTCGTGGTCGCACCACCGGACAAACCTGGGAAAACTGGTTCGCCATCGTGTTCAGCCAAAGGATTTTCGGGAGCGCATCCGATAAGACAAAGGCTCCAGGGCAATGATGAACAACAAAGAGCCGAGGCGTAGCACTACAAGGTAGGCGGCTGATAGAACGCCGCTGTGTTTTAGCATGATGACAGGTTGTTTTCGTATTGGTTATTAAAATACATTCTTGTTTTCGGGCGAAAATCCATTACTCTAAAATTGCGGAAAAACTACTTCACCTTATCACCTCGACTTGACGTTTGCTTTCCGCTTCACTTTATCACCTTTGCCGCCAAAAGTTCGTCAAGTCTTCGTATACACAAGCAGGAATTTCAGAGCAATGCCAAGATCTGTAATGTTGGCGCCTGATTAGTAAACGGCCCCCCCCCGCCCCCCTCCCCTCAAACAAACAGGAAGTCCTCTATAATAAACTATCACCAAAACAAATCTGGATTCCTGTGAGAATTCCTTTTTGTAGTTGATTGTAGTATTCATTTTCCTTTCATAGATTGTATTCAGCTTCCTTTCTCAGGTGCTTTGTAATTGTTCTCAGCAATCCTTTTGCTTTGCAGCCTCAGATCTTCAGCTCAAGAGAAGCCCCAAGCTTTCAGCTTCTTCCTCAGCTTCCATGGCTTCCTAAGTAAAGGAAGATTCCATGAGCAATTTTTCCAGTGAAAAAAACTTTTCACAATTGAGGACCCAAAAACAAATTTATTATTGAGGATCAGGTGCCTTCCTGGTCTACTACCTTGAAAATTTGTTTAGGAGCAATGTTTTATAAAGGGTTTAATTGGGGAATTGGTGGTTTTGGTTAGCTGTCCGTTTTGAAGAAGCCTAGAGAAAGCTATATCAGCTAATGAATCATAATCACTGGCCTCAGAAGGAATTCAAACCCTTATTAATTGGGCTTCCAATTTAAAAATTTAGGGCCCCAAAAAAATTAGCATTATAGAGGTACCATTTTTCAAACAGGGGGGTCTGAATAAATTTGGAAAAGTTAGCATTATAGAGGACCTATTTACTAATCAGGATCCAACATTACAGCCACTGGTGCACAAGGTCGGGAATTCCTGGGTGCACTTTCGATCCGAGCAGACCTTTGATCTTTCTTGGAAACGTGGCCCCAATGAACTCTTTGACCGACCGCCAGTGTCGGTCAATGCACTGGGTTCCTGCAACACTGCTCAAATGTTTGGGAACAGACCTTAAAGTACATCGTGAAGCCAAAGCACATCGTGAAGAGTGTCTAGCTCAAGTGCATCCACAGTCCACCAGGGCAACAACTCCACACACGGCGGAGGCTCCCAGCCAACCGCAAAAGAAGCACCAGAGCCAGAAATTCGAGAAGAACATCATACATTGCAACACGGAAATACAGAAACGAAAAGAAACATCTTTCTTTGAGCATCAAGCAAGCAAGCAATCAAGCAAGCAAGCAACTGTCTTGTAAGCTTACTAGCAAGTAGAAGTAGAAGATTACTAGAGTGTCTTGGCTTTCTTCACCCCACGAACTAAGTGCCAGCGAACGTTAACATGCCCCACCCAACCCCACCCCCATCCCCAACGTAGCATCAACTGCATGACCTAAGTGCCAGCGAACGTTAACATGCCCCACCCAACCCCAACCCCAACGTAGCATCAAAAAAGAAAAACAGTAAAGAACAACTGGCGACGTAGCATCAAAATAGCAAAAAAGTGAAGAACAACTGGCGGCGTTCTATCAGCCGCCAGCCAACTACAAGCAGCACCCGAAGGCACCAACTGGGCACTACTCCCTTTGTCTCCGCAATATGATACAAAATTATCGGGAAATGGATCTTCTCAGGGCCATCTTCCCATATGAAGTGACATGGTCTATACCAGCACCACCCAAAGGGTGGTTACTAGATGGAAAATACATCTTCAGGGGGTCTATAAACCACCTGAACTGGGTGGTGCTGGTAGTTTATACATGTTTTGTTTCTCCTGTGTCTGTTGCTATCTATACTAGTACCTCCATCTTCAGCACCAAGCGGCTCTGTGCCACTTGGATGCGCATCATGACCACCGGGCCCTTAGCAGGACTACGGATCGCGTGGGCGGCGTGGTATGGTATTTCCTATGACAAAACCAGGGATCGGTGCAGTGCTTGAAGCAGTTCCGGTACTTCATGTTTCACCAGCGAGGCATAGCGAGGCGGTTGGACTGGAGGATGCGCACGCTTGAGATGTATCTGGAAGTCTCCGGCGCACGCTTGATCTACAGCCATGGTGCGTTACGCCTGTTCCGATTCTGAAAAGGCCCTGGTGTTTGGAAGGCAGAATCTTTTTGAGACATGACACCAACATCACCAGCCCCCACTCCCAGGTCTCGATCGAGGCCGCACTTCTGCCATCGAAAAACGCATCTCGGAGAGGTTGATGTAGTAGGAATGCTTGCAGTTTTGGGGACTGGGCAGTTCCCAAAAGAAAGGAAAGGATGCACCCTTTAGACTCACCTAAAGTCCGCGCTGCAAGGGCACCCCAAGAAGAATCGACAGACCCGCCGAAGTCTCTTACAACCCCAAAAAGTCTGGAGCAAGTGCCATAAACATCTCTAAACATGGAACACACCAAAAGAAAGACGTCTGTATATCATCAAGGACCAGTTCAGGGAGTTAAGGGAGGCATCTGCACTGCCAACAGAAGGTCGCCCGGCCAGGCCCCCTCACATGCGTGAGGATCTCCTCGTCTCCGTTGCAAAGGCCGGACTGGAAGCTGCAAACCACCGTCCACTTCAGACCCCAACCGCCACTGCTCAGCAGTCCATCTTCTGCCTCAGAGACCAAGCCCTCTTCCGTGAATCAAAGGAAGATCTAGAGAAACAACCCCTCCTGGAAGAATTCAACACAGTCATCAGAGCCAAATCCTTGCAATTTAGGTGGGTAAGTACCTTTCAGCAAGTATGTGCAAGTACATGAAAGTACCGACCGAAAGCCTTGGACTTCTGCGCAAGAACTTCGAGTTCTTCCGTTCCGAGCCATCGACCCCCAGGACCCCAGAGTTGAACCACCTTTACAGCCAGTACCTGAAGAAAACCTAGGGTTCTCCCAAATACCCGGGGTTTTCACTGGAAAAGTTGGGGTTCCGGCTGGCAGGGTATATATAATCAACACTATAATATCTATAATCACCTAGAACTGCCTAGAACCCCTTGGGAGCGACACTCCCAAGCTAAGGATCTCAATCATTGACAACACAGACTACACAACTTCCATCAGCGACGTCGTGACCACCACGCTCGTCGACTAACGTGCTGAACCCTCGGGCTGGCTTAGTCTATCTTAGTCTTCCTGTTTGCACGCACCTGGAAACCCAGACCTGTCCCGCAAATCAACAACCCCCAGTTCCTCTCCCCACAAACAAACACACCCCGCACCGACCTGGCCGCCGCCCCGCCCCAGACGGACCTCGCGTCGCAGCGCCACATGTTCTCCGTGTGTTTAGTGCCCAGCAGCCACCCACTGAGCCACCTTCAAGTAGCCCTGCTCCAAGCGGTCCGAAGGCCTGTCCTGGCGTCGTGGTGAAACACCGACGCGACGCCGGGGGGTCGGAGTGGGAGTGAGCGCTCCTGGGCCCGGTGGCTGGTTGCGGGCCGCTTTTGACCGGGAAAGGCGCAAGAAGAAGTGGTTGGGTGTGGTTGGATCCATGTTCTTTTCGGGTCAGCGCGATTGTCGACTGCAGCAACTGTAAGATCCTGTAACCCTGCATGATACTCATGTTCAGGATTCCATGTCTCATTCGGTTGACATTCTTTAATAGACTCACCTACCATTTTTCACTTCCAAACTTTCGTGTTGATCTATTTTGCCTTCCAGCATCTTCCAGTCCTTTGCCGGATTTTCGGTCATCAAACATGCGGAAACCACTTTTGCTCCACCGGACCAAGAGTGGCGCACCTTGGATCCAGTCTTCACCACCAAGCCTTTCAACCACTTCCCCAGGCACCGCTTGCGCTTGTTCTCCTGAGCCACGACCAGTTGATGGTTTGAAGAAGAAAGCAGCTGGAAAGTGGTGTTGCACTTCCTGTCCAGCATCTTGAACATCCTTAAGCATAGCAGACTCACTAGATATCCGCAAGACCTGTGGACATTTACAAAGCTCTTCAGAAGCGGCTCTGCATGTTGTGAAGCGGGAGCCTGAGTGGATTTCAGGATTGAATTTCAGTGATGTGGGCCATGAATGGCAGTGGTCCTTCCCAAACAAAAACGACAAATATATGGACCATAACCCATAACGGTGTAACCGGGGCCGTACTGGGACGGCCATGGTAATTCCGGCATTGACTCGGAATGACCTTGCCTGTCCTGGGCACTCCAACCAGCTGTGAACAAATGAGTCAGAACCTGACTATGAATTCACATTCAAGTACCCCAGCAAACGTATCAAAAGCTTCGATGTGTTTCTTTTCCCCCAAATCCACATAACCCGCGCAAGGTCCAGGTATACTCAAACCATGTCGAGATCGACATGTTTGAAGAGTATCACTCCGATCTCCCCCTTGTGGATCTGCTTGGGCAGCATTTTTTGACAGGAGGTTCTTGGCATTTTAAACCCCAAACGCCCCACCTCATTGATGAAGACCACCTCAATTAGGTCGCCCGCCTCAAAACAGTGTCGAAAGGCGTGCCAGGCTGCGAGCCAGGCTGCGAAACGTGACATGCAGCAGACCAGATCATGCAAGATCGGCGTGTCTGTGCAAGGGGAAGGGCTCATCAGCCTTTGGCCACCTGTTTGCCTGTGGGTCATGGCACCAGGATACCTAGGTTGACCTATCCACGTAACTGTCACATATCCGGGCGCATCCTCAGGGCCTTCAGCTATGCTGGGCAACTGGGGATCGTGGTACATGTCCACTGTACAGCATCTGAATATGTACGAGATCACCCCGTATATACTTCGTTGACCTATCTATTTTTGGTCGTTCGCGTGTTCCGACGGTTGCTCCGTCATGCTCCGTCACCTTTCTAAAACGACTTGGGTCCCATCTCCGACTCCCATCACACGACTTGGTCTTGACGGGTCTCCGGGTAGCCTGAGGGCTGACGGCCCAAAAGTAGGTCTCCTCATCAGCGTCAAAGGCACGTCCTCGGAAGCTCGAAGACTATCCAGGAAGCGGAAACAATGAGAAATCTTCACCAGAGGATTGATCAATAGGGAAAATTACTTAAACATATTTAAAATGCTGCATACATCATAAATCATCATCATAACCCATCATCACCCAATTCGCCAAACTTCCGGAAGTCGCTTTTTCTACAGTGTCAACACTCCCCCCCACACACCGGCCGTGGTTCGACTGAACGTCCCAGCAAACGACCCATGAATGACCCACCAAGGAGTGCTCAGCTCGTCTTTGGCGGAGCAGACCGAGACCACAGCTGGAAGACAACCACAGTAGCCACAGTCTAAAAGAATACGATTTCCAATGATTTCCACCATATGGTGGGCCTGGGCTGGCAAGGACCTGATCTGTTTGAATTGGTGTTTCTGCTCTGGCTGAAGATTCCCAAATCAGAGATAAATTTGTATAGTTGGAGCCAACTCGTGAGCAGCAAAACTCTTTTAGTCATGCGCACGATTGAAGTATGAGGCAACTGCAACTAATTGACTGCCACTTCACTAGCCATAAAAATGGGCATAGTAGAAGAAGATGGTCTATATTAGTGGAAAACCATGTTTTTACTAGAACTTCAACCTGCTTCCCCTTGTAGAGGATTGTGTAGGAACATGCTCTACTTCGGGGCTGTCCTTTCGATGGCCATGATCAGCGTGGATGAGCAGGTTGAAAGGTTGAATCGTTACCACCGAGGTCTGGCCTGAAAGGTCTATCGAGGTCTACAGTAGTCTCTGAAACCTGAGGGTCGTCATTTACATTTTTGGGGTTCTTGTATATAAGATCTTTCAGAATTGGATTTACCTTTCAACATCAAAGAGAACATGAACTCGATCCCCCTACAAACCAGATTCTTTACTGGCTTTACTTGTTCTCTCACCATTATGCTTTCTGGAACATCATTGGAACCATATTATGTAGATCGTGGAAAGCACCTCTCTGATCAAACCCTGGTCAGTCACTTGGGCTCCAAACCCACGTGGAAGTATTCACCAAAGGCTTCCTCAGTGATGACTGGCAAAGGAAGCCACACATCTAAAGAGGGAACAATCCCAATCCACGAACCATCCAAGGAGCTGCGGTCCTAACCTAGGCACCATGGCCCCGCAGCGAGATCGATGTCCTACGTCTGTCTAGGCACCTTGCAGCCCCAAGGTTCGACGATTTGAGGGCGTGTCCATGAAGCACCCCGGCTGGGTCCTATTTAACCCTAAGAATCCTTGGGCCCTCCATGGCAGGGGTCGGACCCTCCTTTGCCAGGGTCCGGACCCTCAAACCTAAGGTGGCTATCATTAGCCAAGGTCTCGCAAACCCATCCAACTCCAGGTTTCAATTCACGCTGGAAACCCTACATTTTGGAGACAACATGATACCTAGCCCTTGCGCTTGTACAAACAGTACCAAAAAACACACACATGTTCCTTTCGCTGCGATTTAAAGCGCACCAGTGGCTTTTAAAAAGGAAACGCTGGTCAACTAACATGTTCTCAACACTGAAACCAACAAACCACAAAGCAAATGTTTCAAAGGAGTCACGTATAAAATATTGATTGCAGCACTTTGGAATTGCGCAGAGATCATAGCAGGTTTGTTGTCGCACTTTGGAATGCCATTGATCTGACCAGGATTTAGACAATTCCTTTAACAAGGACCCCAGTGACAAAGGAGAAACCTTGTGATACTGGCAAGCCTTCTCTAGATGTATAAATGAAATGTATGTCCAGGCCTGCATGTTTGGACGGGGGCATCACCACTGATACATCTGCGAACCTTTCTTCTGTTGAATTCTCACCCAAGCTCGTTCTAATCCAAAAACCAATGATGAATCGTCTGCTATCCAACGATCCCGGCCGCGCCCCCACCCAGGATCCCTCATGCAAAGACTCTAAGGTGGTGGTGATCCGTGCGTGCGCGAAGAGGGGGCTTCGCTGCGTGTCCTTCACCGTGAAGCGTCCACACTGGGCATCGGTCTTCAGGCGCCTCGGGTGACAAGCATGTGACCGGTTTGCTCGTTTCGTTTGAACGGGCGACAGTGAAATTTGTCAATACATATCAAGGTTATACAGACTATGTTATAGCCCATTTGATCCCTGTTTTGACCGAACATTTAGGAAATCATGTGTGTTTTTGTGTATTGATTGGCTTCCAAAACAGGGGTCACTCAAATCTGCCATCCGAGACTTCCACCCTGCCAGCTCGTGGCGCTGGTGCAATGAGACCAACTCGCAAGGAACTTTCAACATCCTTTAACAACCAAATGAAGAGGTAACAAAAAAGTAAGAACGGCAACCCAAAATACACCTAACCCCCAAAACACAGGCATGACATCAACCACTGGAGACATTCAACAACCAACAACCATACATATCATAAATGCAAAGGAACTAATTGCACATGACAGGAGGATAATAATGGAAAACAATTCAACAAACACAGCCAACGACGAACCAAAAACAACCACAACAAAACCCACACAAACACACAACATCACACAACTACAAAACACATCAAAAAACAGCAGCAGCAACAAAGACCTTCACAATCGCAAAGGTCGATCATTTTCATGAGGAACACACAACAAAAACAAAAGCAAATTGCCAATGCCAATGAACAATAAACGCGACAACCGCGAACAACAACCATGTGAAAAAAACACATTGTTGTCAAACGGTGTCAGCGTTGTGAGGGCGACAGGGGTGTCGGTGTCAATAAAATCGTGATGGCCGTTTTAATCAGCACATGAAACAACCTGAAACATTGAAAACAACTGGACATTTGAGGTTATTAACCTTCATCTTTTGCTTTGGCCGTGCTGGCCACACAGGTACACATGCAGAATGCCCAAAAAAACATGCAAAGGCCATACACATGCCGAAGGCGATGATAAACCATGCTGGCTCTAAGGACAAGAACCGCACGCCGATCGGCTAGTCCTTTGGCCTTTAAGGTGAGTGAACTGGGAACATGGTGGTGAGGAGCAATTGACTTTGCTGGCGCGCCTGTATTTCGCATCTTTTTTGTCGGGAGTCTCTGGCTGTGAACACATTTCACCTCCATCATGTGGAACTCGCAGTTTGGAACAGAGCTATCTATCATGCTCACACAAACACAACCCACACGTTCACCATCGAAATGGAGAACTCTGTCCGAAGTGCATCAAACAACAAAAACACAGCACAGGTCTGTAATTTAGTCATGCATTTGCTTCATAAGTGTCAGAAATCTAAACATATTGAAACTGTAGACATGCGTTCGGGACATTGCAGTTGGTTCAACACAGAATACTAAAGGTATGTGCGCAACAAAACGACGCCAATCCTCCTTCCCCAAACAACTCTTTGGTTTCTTGACACCTCTGAATTTCCTTGGACATGTGTGAGGGTGTTTTTAAACAGAACGCTCCGCGCCCCCAACAAACCAACTAATTTACTACAAAAAGGCCGCTGCCACACCGAATCTTTCCTCCACCATGGTGTGCGTCTTGCTGCCCCCCTGTAGCTGCTGCCCCAGGTGCTGCTCGCAGTGAGTGTGGGCCGCAAACCACAAAGACATGTCCAAGTCACGGGCTCGATCCGGGACGCCTCCAACGGGTGCATGAGTGAGTATGATTCACATGATCAGTGTTAAATTGAGGTGCAATATGTTTTTTGAAAAACGGTTCCTTTCGACTGATAACGTTCCTAACATGTTCCGAAAAAAATTGTGGTGTATATCGGCTAAACCAAATCAAACCCCATGTGTGAAAATACAATATGAATATAATAATGAAAATTTACATTATTTGTGGCCGTGGCCGTGGCCGGCTGGCCGGAAACAAAAAAAACTATTGTGCATGTGTGCCAAGCCTGTGATGCGGGTGTGGGAAACATACAGTGACGGAATCACGAACCAAAATTGAATCAGGTGTAACACGCCAGCTTGCTTAACTTTGGGTAGTGCAACACGTCTTGACCAAAGCACATGAAGCGCTGGCTCTCCGAATGTGTTCCTAAAGCAACTGAAACTGTCAACCCGTCAACCCTTCATGATCGCCAGGCTGGGCCACTGCCTCCCCAAAAGCGCTCTGCGATGGCCATGAATCGCGGGAACACTTTGGCAAACACGTCCTTGGGTTCTGAGTCCTGTGCTGGCGATGGCTTGGTATTAGGCTTCGGGTCCCCTGTCACTTTGGGTCTGCTCGGGCGGCAACATGCGGTTCGGACGTCCTGGCTGAGATGAGATAGCAGTATATCTAACAAGCAAAGGGTAACTGTTGATGTTTGGAGCCCAGTCTGTGCCTTTGGAACGGCTTTAACGATGGCACGGTTCTTTGGCCCATTGCCCTAGGAAGCACACTGGAGAAGAACAAAGTGATGGGAGACTGCAAAGCCAAGCCAGCCAAGCGTTTACTTCAGCCATGGCACTTCCAAAGAGCCAACTTGCTAGCCCACCTCGTCAGGTTCCAGGATGTTCCAGGCAAAGCGACCATTACCAAGCTGGCTAGATTCGCTTGCTTGCCGCCACTGAAAGGTGCTCACAAGGTTCGAAGTTACGAGTGCGAGATGCCAATCCTGAGTCTCGACTCGAGGCATCCTTCTTGCCCGTCCATGCTCCAAAAAATCCCAGCTACGCAGCAGCCCTGTAACACATTGAAGCAACGAATTCAGCGGCTGATTAGGGTTTGGCCAGGGAGAAGTCTCTTTCCAATCGTTAAGTGGCAACAGCAAGACGTAAGTACGACAACACGCGTAAAAGCAACAAACAGCAACGCAACAAAACCTGCTTGTTGTGCTGCTTTTTGGGGCTTGGCCTGAAAATTGTCCGGTTGTCGGCATCGGATCATGTTTTCTCCACTACAAAACTCAAAGGGACTTGGTCAGGTCCCTCAACATGTGGATCACGACACTACGACGTGATCACAACACTACGACTTGATCTATCAGTCTGTATACTGTAGTTATGGTTGGTCCAGGCCTTTGCCCTGACCATTCTGGATGGGACTGAGCTAATCCACTTCTCGTTGGATTTGATGGAACTTGCGCATTCACAAACTATACACCCTTATACCTTGCAAATGATCCTCAACAAGTCCGAGAATTGCCAACAACATGCATGAGTCTACCGTAATATATTGTAAGATATGATTGGTCTAGTGATCCTCAAGTCAATCGAACACAGTGCTGTCCCCAAAGGGTGGTGGATGAGGACAATACGGACACCCGCTGTGTCCGAAAAAAGATACGTGTTCCATGTAGAAAAAGACACGTGTCCCGTCCGCCTCTAAGCGCTCCCATCTTCCTCCTGAGGGGTTGTGCAACTTCATCATCCTACGGCCATTCCAGCATTGATGCCCTCTATATAAAGGGGACGACTCCCATCCAAAGCCACCTTTGAAAGACTCAGTTCTTTCAGAGCCGACCTGGGCATGATCAACATATCCACCCACTCTTCCGCCAGGAGCGTTTCGCGTGGCCACTCGAAACGCGTTTCGCGTCCTCGGTCCACATCGTGGCACAGCCCCCTGGATCGGTGGAGGCCGTGAATCCGTAACTAACATCATCGGTACCAGGTGCAAGTGAGTTAGGATTTGTAAAAGATACTTGCACTTGGGATCACGTCATGTCATACTATGCAAAAAAAAAACAAAAGCACATCCCAAGTCATTTGTCCCAATGTTTTGTTTTAACGATATTTTTCGAGGGGTGCTCGAGATCCTATATCATCATGCGTTAAACCTATGGGGAAACATGGTTTTGAAGGCCCTGATGGGACCATCTTGTCTCAGGCCAGCTGAGCAAGGACAAGACATCGACTGGACACACGATGAGATCATCGAAACAGGATGCTGCTGCTAAACCTCCGCGGATTGCATCCATTCCCATTGACTTAATACATAACTCGTCCACCCCCGAGCTCCAACGACTGAGCTTGACCAGTAAGTACTGTGTCCGAAACGCGCTTGAAACGCACCGCGCGTGTTGGGCTTGCGCGAAATGGGCGTTCCTTGGTCGATCCCTCAGCCGCACCTAGAATCCGTGGCCCAGTGGAGGGCAAGACTTGGAGGCTCTTGTTGAAGTCGATGGAGGCGACTGGATAGTCCAAATACCTCGGACATTGACTTGATTGAGGTGAGACGTTCACATTGGCATTGAAATGGGGCAAGTCCAGGTCTATGTCCAATCAGGTTTGAAGAGCCCATGGTGGGCGAGAGAAAGCCTTTTTAAGGTATTGACTTGGAAAGCTGAAGTATTGAAAGAGTTGCTCAGTGAACTACACTTGCAAATCACCAAGAAGCAAATAGCCGATGCAACCCTGACGGTCAGTAGAGCTTGGACAATTTTGTTTGGACATATCACAGCAATTAGCTACAGTAGTTACTATCATAACTGACACTCTTTAGAGATCAACAAAGAGTTCTATTGTGTACAGTTTTTCTGTATATGCATGTCTCTTTGTTGCCTTCTCATCACAGAGAACCACCTGCCGGCCGTTTTGAGTGGATCATAAACCACACTCCACGAAGTCCAGTCCCACCAGGGGGCCTACCGGAAGGCCACGCAGGAAGTCCGGGGGTCCTGCGATGACTCTGGGGATCCACAAGGCCACAAAGCATCGATGTCTGGTGTTTGAGGTGAAACCCAGGTCTTCGAAAGGAATGTCCCAACCTCCGTCAGTCAGCTGAATTCAGTCAGCCGGAAATCCACCAGAAATGCGCCAAGCGCTCACCCCACTCCTGCCTTGGCGGGGGTCCAGGCAGGCGACACGCCACACGCGTTCGTCTGTCCAAACCATGTTCCACAACAGCCACGCCACACGCTCTTCATGGGCGAGGAAATGGTGTGGAAGGGGAAGTCATCCGCCACTGCCTGAAGTGAACCATGTGACAGCACTAAACGTCGCCTGCAAACCTGTCAAGCGACAGGTTGGACTATCCGATTTAGCCACCTGTGACCCCGAATCAAATGGGTGGTTTCTGTGAGGATGCCCATACTCCACCAAAAGAGAATCACCAAACTGGTGATGTTGTAGAAAAGCAACGCTTCGCTTTTCTAGACCATATGTTTTGCTATTATTATTGTGTAGAACTCGCCCAGCCCAGGAAAACTTCAGAATACCAACACCTCGCATTTCGTTTTCTGACCGCCCCATCACAAGGGCATGCATTCCAGATTAAGTAAAATGGCCCCTATGATTAAATATAAGTGTATCAATATGTGAACCTGTGGCTTTTCAAAAAACTTGACCGATGCAATGTAGTGCAAAAACTAAATGCCATGAATTCCACATAACACATCCTGTATGGTTGTTTTTTGGGTGGTCTCTTTTTTGTTCCCCAAATAGTGCTACGCACTAAGGGGTTCTTACGGTAAGAGTTAAGCGGGTTTAGATCAGGGTTCGCACGTGTGGCCCCGGCATGTTGCGTGGGCCGGCTCGCGCAAAAGTTACTTTTTGAATTCCTCATGTCCATTTCGACTGCGCAGGCTCGCATAAAGTGGGGGTCGCGGTTTTCGCGCTTCCGGGACAAAGCTCTCGTGCAGGTGCCGTGCTCGTTTTCGGACCTGAAGTGAATTTCGCGTGGCAGGCGCAAGGAATTCGACACAGTGGAGCCTCGAAAAGGTCATTTTACGTGGCAGGTGCAAGGAATCGGAGACTTTGCAAATTTCGTGGCAGGCGCAGTGTTTTGTGGACGTCGCATAAACGTTGGCAGGCGTGTGTCATTCGCAGGACTGCGTTTCACGTGGCAGGCGCAGGGAATCCGCACCATGGATGCGATATTTTGAGGTGAAACGGCTGAATTCGTGAGAGGGTCGCATTTTTGGACTTTGACCTTGAGGATGATTTTGCGTGGCCAGTGCAGCATTTCGTATGACCTGCAGGCATGATTTCATGGCAGGCGCAGCATTTCTGAAACGCATTTCAAAATTTGCGAAAGCCTCGTGCAATTTGCTCATTTTGGATCTCCGATGTGCAGAGTTTGTGGCAGGCGCAGCACTTTGTGAATCTCGATGTGCAGATTGCGTGGCAGGCGCAGCACTTTGTGAATCTCGATGTGCAGATTTCGTGGCAGGCGCAGC